CCCCTTAGCTCGTGTGGTTCCCGAGATCGCCCTCCCGCCAAAAAATTTGCATATTTTTTTAAGGCGGCCGTACACGGCGCCCAGGCGCCCGCAGGGGATGATATTAAAATAGGAAGGTCGCGCATGGTATGGGCACATTTTCCCAAAGTTTCAGCCTTCTATCTTTTCCCGTTCCCGAGTTATGGATTTTCCCGCCAAAACTTTCAACTCCTCGTACGTGGGGCCCAGACGTACGTGAGGGATGGCACCACGGTCCTGGGGTGGTACTTGGCCGGGGTACCCATTAGCAAAATCTCGGCCCTAGAACTTGCTTTGTTGCCGAGTTGAAATACCCGGACAGACGAACACACGCGCACACACACACAAACATACACATACACATACATACATACATACACACACAGACAGGGTCGTCCCAATATGCGTTTTTGCAATTTGCATATAGAAGCTTGGTTGCCGAGTTGAAATACCCGGACAGACGAACACACACACACACAAACATACACACACACGCATACGTGGTTGCCGAGTTGAAATACCCGGACAGACGAACACACATACGCACACACAAGCATACACACACACATACACCTACCTTGTGCTCTCAATACCGCAAATCATGGTAAATTTTGCATGAAAGAACATACATACATGACACACAGACAGGGTCGTCCCAATATGCGTTTTTGCAATTTGCATATAGGCAAAAACGCATAAAAAGGTAGGTGTAACTGTTGTGCACAGCTGCAGGCTGCCTAAGGCAACACGATGAAACTGCATGCAATTTTTGTGTAAATGCAGTCGAAATTATTTGTTCTCTGCTTCACCTAAACGTAAGTTCAACCGGTTACTGGAGACTGGTTTTTGTAAAACAATTTCCAATAACAGAAGCTCGCTCATTGCTTGCTTTTGTTTTTTTTTGCTTTTGTTTACAGGTTCCAATTCTTTGATTTTGCTTTTTTTCCTCTTATTCACAAATTCAGTTTTGTTTTAATTTACTTTTCTTTGTAGTGCCGTGCTGGTTTATTTCCCTCTTTACAGCTATCTGCAATCCTTGCTTTGAACTCCTGACTAGCACGCTTCTTCCCCTGCTGTATCCTGTCCCAGTCTTTGCCTCCAGAGTCGCTTCGGGGCACCACCACCTCCACCCACTGTCACCGTTTGTCGTCCTGACCTCCTAACCAGCAACTTCATTCCTCCTCATTATCCTGGCCTCAATCGCGCCCCTCTGAGCTGTATCTAGGCAACTACCAACCAATACCCCCAAACACGTCCAATCCTCCCACCCATCGCCCCCCTCCCCCTCTCGCCCATGCGATCCAGCCGTCAGACACTGGGCAGCGTTACCCAGAGCGTCTGGCAAAGTTCCAGCGAGCGGCGCTGCAAAATAGTGTCGGCAGAGATAATACAGCAAAGCGCTGAAAGGCCCAAACACCATAAATCACCAGCCGAGCCGAGCCGAGCCGTGTTTTTATAATTGTCGTGCGTTTGGCAGCTTTTTGGGAGTCGGTCGGTCGGTGGTTCTGCTTTTTCATTTGCATTTTTTGGTGCGTGTATATGTTTTTTTGACTGTTTTGGGGTTTTTGTTGGTGTTGATTTGTGTATGTTTTTATTTTTTTAGAGGGTAAACGCTGATGACAGGAGAGTCGCCGGGACCGGAGTGGACAATGGCCAGCGGAGCGTGCCGGGACAACGCGGAGGAGGAGCAAGGCTCGAAGCCAATGAGTCGCAGTGCTATGCTTGAGCTTGTGCGTGAGATCCACAAGCTGCCGGAGGATGAGCTGGGCGCTGTTGTTCAGATTGTCCAGTCCGGAGAGCAGCTCCCGCAAAGCAGTGCTGATAAGGTGGAAATTCATATGGAAAGCCTGAAGCCGACAACATTGCACGCATTGAAAGCGTTTGTTGCATCGTGCCGGAAGAAGGGAGCTCAGACGCCTGGCACGGGGGACGATGAGGACATGGAGGATGACGAGTCTGGGAGTGAACTGGACGAAACGTCCGATTCGGAGCCGTCGTTTTTTGATGAAGAGGATGACTTGATGTCTGATTCTTCAGCTTTTGATTTGCCGGACATTGTTTAGTGGAAGCTGCCCTGAAATCTGTCCTTGATCTACTGCTTGAATTGCTCATTATGCTATGGATCACCAAATTTTTAAGTGATCGGAATACGAGATTTATCACTTTTTCGCGTTTTTATTTCGCCTATATTGTTACCACAGTGCGCGCACACCATTGTTATCTCGAAACTGATGGAGCTTATCCAAGTGCTTAAGCGTGGAGAACGGATAGGGTGCTGGGGACGTAAAAGACGTCTTGATCTGCAGCAAGCTGACCACTGGGTGCAGCAGCACTGGTCAGAGGAACTGGAAAGATGCCAGCTGAGGGAACTGAGCCGTAGACTGCGGCTCGTCAAAATATGGGGTTTTTTTGAGCGAATCCTCTGTTGAGGTATTTATGGGTGATTCGTTGATTCAGAGGAGTGAGGCTTTTGAGAGAGACTGACCCAATGAATTTTGAGGGTGTGCGTGGTCGTTCGAAGAAAATAAGAGTTGTACCATGCCGTTACTATAATCGCATAGTTAAGGAGGAGGAGAGGACGGGGCGAGAACGGGAGGAAGGGGGGAGGGGTGGGAAAGAGGGGCAAATCACCCGTATATGAATGAAAAATACAGCGAATTGAGTCTAGATTGTAGGAAATATCTGCGAACGACTCAGAACTTGTGGGGCTTGGAGGCCGCGGGATTCAACGAGAAGGGGCACTGGCGCCCAGCAACATGTTATTTAGGAGATTTGATTTTTTTTTAATGCGTTTTTGCATATTTATGCAAATGCGAAAACGCGCGTTGTCAAGAGGTTATTGGTGCGCGCGTGCTTATATGTGTATATTTGTGAGTGTGTGTGCGTGTGCGCGTGTGTGTGCATGTGTATGTGTGAACTTTGCCACCCAGTTTCATTTTAATGTTTGTTTAATTTTAAAAGGTGAGACGTGTTGCCAAGGGCTTCATTGTATGTACGATTCTTTAGTTGAGCAGCTCACCTACAGATTGTTATCATTTTAGTATTCTTCCCTGTGCTTTGTATTGTACTGTTCACATCGTATGGTACCGGTCTTACCGGCAGTTTTTATCGCATCGCTGAATATGCGTATTGTTTTTTTTTTTCGGATAAAAGTTCAAAACTCGAATTTGAGGTGCTGATTAACGGAAATTTGGGAGTGATTGGCCTGCTAGAGCAAGGCTGCTCTGTATTGATACTAGTCAGTTACTATGCGTTTTTGCCTTGCAGTGCTAGAGCGCTGCAACAGGCAGCAAAAACGCATATTGCAACGACCCTCTCAGTGTGTGTGTGTGTGTGTTTGTGTGTGTGTGTTCGGGTATTTCAACTCGCTAACCATGCAAGCTTTGAAGCTGAAATTTTGCCGGTGTGTCCCCTAGCCAGGTGCCACCCTAGGACCGCGGTTTCAACCCTCACGCACGTCTGGGTCCCCACCGTTTCCACTCATCTTCGTTCCTCTCCAGCCAGATGATTAGTGGAAGAGGGACGAAGTAGGTGGGAATTGCAGGGGTCTAAACATAAAAATTTTGGTGGTTTTCGGGTATTTGTTTGGGAACCAACTGTTCTGACGTAGTTTTGAAAATACCGACAAAGCATTGCTTCTTTTGGTAATTGGCAGTAGTACAGTTTTGCAGGTGCGAGAGAGCCGTTGTTGAAATTATGGTTGAGAGAAAACGAATTGCCCATGAGGCATTGATGAATAACAATCAGAAGCTTCTGTTTGATATGCTTGATTCATTCGATGGGCCGAAGATTATTGTTTGGGATCCAGCTCTGATCAAACGATTCAACATGGTTTGTGTTTGTATTTGAGACCTTTACATTGAGGGCTTTTCCGTCATTTTGCCGTTCCGCTCTTGTATGCTAAATCTCCCGACAAGAGTGGGTATTGGAGGCATCTGTTTTCAGTTGCAAGCATTTTTGAATGCGAAATTATGTACAAATTGGCAAAAATAAGCGAATTTTGCTTGCCGTTCTGTTGTTCTTTTCTCCATCGATGGATCTAGGCACTGGCCACTTGTGTTGTAATCTTGGGCTACAGTAAAAGAAATCAGGTGACTTTTTGGACAAGAAGTTTTTTTGCAGATTAGGATACTCAGTTTAAGGTAGCAACAGCGGAACAGCTGAAGGAGCATCGTGTTGTCTCGATGTTGCAGTTGGAACTGTTGCCTGGCGTACCGCAGGCTGAACACAATCACGTTTTGTACATTTTATCTGGTGATAAATCGAGTGTCAAGAAGCTAGTCACATGCCTGAAGCACGCCCATTCTGTTAATGTAAGTATTCGTTCATATATGCTTGCAAGGTTAGGCTTCAGTGGCAGTACCCCCCTCCCCCTCTCCCCGCCCCTTAGGGGTGCTGGGTGAAAACACGATCCCCTCAGGCTGCATTCGGCTGGCTGCTGCTTTCATTCGATGCTATACTTTTGGGGCCCTGCTCGATATTTGCCGTCATTCAGTTGCGGATGAGTTATTGAAAAATATTAGATGCATATTCTGGTGGACATGAAGCAGTGGCAGGTTCTAGTGTTGAAGGTCGAGGGTTCGACTCCGCCAGTGGTTCAAGCAGTCCCTATACGAATCGTTCATTCGTTTCGGCAGTTGATACGTAATGATGCCTTTTAAGAAGTCAAAATTGCCATCGGCTTGTTTGTAAGCCCTCGAAATAGGGTGTATTGCCAGCTGGCGGTAGTTGTTGGTACATGCTACCACCACTCGGGGTATTTCCGAATCTTACTGCCTTTCTTAGAGTATGTAGATGATTTTAACTTTTGAAATAAAACGCATATGAGAGGCTCACTTTGGCAGACGCACATCCGCGCATCTGTGTATCCGAACAAGCTAATGACAGTTCTGACTTCTCGAAATGCATCACTGCCTATTAACCACTGAAACGGGTGAGCGAACCGCAGAGGGAGTGCTTAATCATCTGATAATTTCGAAACACCATAATTTTGAATTTACTTTTTGCTACGATCTGAACTTAATATCAACGTGTACTTGGACTTCAGCTTCGAAAATGTGGCACTGTGTGACCGAAGATTACTGGCCAATCCTCTACCAGATTTCTGCTGTTCTTTCCCGTTTTTGAAAGGGCGTAGCAAATACACTACCGTTTAAATAATTCAAAAGGGAAACCGGAAAAAGTTTATATAACCCAAATAAGGGTAAAAAAGCAGGGCATTTATCATTTTTTGTCACATACTTATTCGTTCATTTCTGGAAATAACCGGACAGTGAAAATAAAATGGTTATCTACAAACCTAATGAAGATTTTTGAAAATATTCGGTTTATTCACATTACTTTGTGCAGAACACACATACATGCAGAGATATTGCTTCCCTCGCTCTCACAGATGTCATACAAGTAAACATAGTAGCATTTCGAGAAAGCACAATGTCTTCGGAAAATTAAAACTGCTATTGCTAATTCGGAAACTACAGAGTTGATCCAAGTATTGTATCTGTGAAAAATTTTCTAAAATATGCAAATTTCTCTTCATCGATGTAAAATTTCATTTGTGACTCATACTGTGTGAAATTTTTCTCCTTGAGGATAGCCGTCTGCATCACGCTCTGTTCGTTCCGGCTGCTCCGTTTGATGCATGGTCCATGATTGATCAGGAAGCGAAACGAGCTTTGGAAACGATTGAATCGTTGCCGCTAAGGATTTTTCCACTCTATGACGATTTCTTCAGTCTTCTCATGGATGATTTACCAGTGAAAATTTTACTGAATAATGTAAGGACCATTTCGAAGTTGTAATCTGTGGCAACTGAAAAGCTGAGCCATAATTTGGAAACACCAAAATTGGGCTGTCCGGAAGTGAATAAAGTAATAAGGAGCGACAAGATCCAACGTATTTTTAACCCCAGTGTGGGATTGATTTAATGCATTGAAATTGTGAAGTAAAAGGAAAAGATCGTCGGCACAGTTCGTGTGGCACGAAACCGTCTGATCTGTTATATGGTCATGTGGAAAGGAAAATGTAGGAAAATCTGCCTGTTTCGCATCCTTTGGCTATAAACGCAGATAGCCATAAGGTGTGGTTGTCTGTGTTCATCAGTACAGCCCCTGAACCGCTATGTAAAAACGTCAGGTGACAAGGTGTTAGAAGGGAGGACAATATAAGTGGAATGCATTAGAGAAATAACACTGGGGTATATTAATGATTAAA